AGTGTTCTCTAATCATAAGAGCCTCAAGTATATCTTCACATAGAAAGACTTGAATCTTTGGCAAATAAGGTGGATTGAGTACCTAGAAGACTACGATTTCACATTCAACTACCATTCGGGGAAGGCGAATATAGTAGCCAATGCACTTAGTAGGAAGTCTCGGGGTGAACTCAATGTTTCCATAGGTGAATGGAAGTTGAAGGATGCCCTTAGAGATTATGATCTATGGGTTGGAGAAGATGGATCCCGACCATGCTTGTTCAACCTTGNTTGAAGGATGCCCTTGGAGATTATGATCTATGGGTTGGAGAAGATGGATCCCGACCATGCTTGTTCAACCTTGTGGCTCAACCTATTCTCCAACGTAGGGCTGTGGAATTGCAATGCTTAGATCCTAAATTAGCGTCCATTCGAGCTAAATTGGAGAATGGAGAAACTATGGAGGGTTGGTCTTTGAGAAACGGAGAATTGAGATATGGGGAAAAGCTATGTGTTCCCGATGATTCATCCCTAAAGGAGGAGATACTTGGAGAGTGTCATCGCTCTAAGTTTGTTATCCACCCCAGTAGCACAAAAATGTATAGGGACATGAAGCGCCAATATTGGTGGAAGGGAATGAAGAAGGATGTGGCAAGGTTCATAGCACGATGTGCGGTGTGCCAGCAGGTGAAGATCGAACATCAAAAGCTAGGAGGATTACTACAGTCTTTGCCTATCCTAGAGTGGAAGTGGGATCACATCACCATGAATTTCATGTCGGGTTTACCACGGACGTCGTGAGGGCATAATGCAGTATGGGTTATTGTGGATAGACTCACCAAGTCCACTCATTTTTTAGGTATAAAGACCACAGACACATTCGAGACTTTGAGCCAGCTGTATATCCGTGAGATTGTGCAATTGCATGGAGTTCCACTTTCTATCATGTCAGATCATGATTCTTGGTTTGTGGCGCAGTTCTGACAAAGTCTACAACAATCCATGGGGACAGAGTTACATTTCAGCACAGCTTTTCATCCCCAATGGATGGCCAATCCGAGAGGGTGATACAAATTGTGGAAGACATGTTGCGTGCTTGCGTGTTGGACTTCAAAGGAAGCTGGAGTGATCACTTGCCGTTGGTGGAGTTTGCGTATAACAACAGCTATCAAGCAAGCATTGGGATGGCACCATATGAAGCATTGTATGGAAGACCGTGTAGATCTCCGACGTGTTGGTTGGAAGCCGACGAGAGTAGTTTGTTTGGACCGGAGATTGTTCGAGAAATTACCGAGAAAATTCAACTCATCCGAGAGAGGTTACGCACGGCACAAAGTCGACAGAAAAGCTATGCGGATCAAAGACAAAGACCCTTGGAATTCAAAGTGGGAGACTATGTATTCCTCAAAGTGTCACCCAAGAAAGGAGTATTTAGATTCAGCAAGAAGGGAAAGTTAGCGCCAAGATATAATGGGCCATTTGAAGTGATCAAAATTGTGGACAAAGCGGTGTATCAGTTGCGGTTACCAGCTCAGTTTTCTGCGGTACATGACGTGTTCCACATGTCGATGTTGAGAAAGTGTCAATCGGATGCAAAGCTGATCGTAGACTTGGAAGATATTGAAATTCAAGACGGAGTAACCTATGAAGAACAACTAGTGAAGATTCTCGACGCCAAAGAGAAGGTGCTCCGCAACAAAATCATCCGACTAGTGAAGGTTTTGTGGCAACACCATGGAGTCGAAGAAGCTACTTGGGAACCGGAGCTAGAAATGTAAGAGAAGTACCTGCACTTATTCGCTACTTGAGGTAAGTTTCGAGGACGAAACTTTCTTTAAGAGGGGTGGATTGTAAACCCCCACATGTCTAAACTATCAACAATCGTCCAATTAGCTTTGTTTTGCATTTAACGTCTCCATTTACATCCTAAATCAAAATATAAGAATAATAAGTATATTTAAGCTCCAAACAAGTATAGAAGAACCAAGTAGCCTGGCAGACTACCTTTCACCAATTTGATCATAACTCTTTGTTGGAAAGTCCAAATTGTGCACCGTTATTTTTGTTAGAACTCTAACTCGTATATCTTTCCAACCATATAGGTCACACATACTAGAACTACCTGAGTTAAATCAGTTTATTCTCCGAAGTTGATAAACAAATCTGCACTGTGGTGTTCCTTGGATAGTAAAGTGTTGTGCTTTCTTCTTAGACTTTGAAGGTGTAAACCCCCACATGTTTATATTAATATAGTAATGTACTTGTTTAGTGATTCTTATATATGTAATGGCATAAGAATAAATCATATATATTGAAACTGTAAGAATAAATAATAGGGAGGAATAAAATAGTAATTTTAATGTTNTTTAGTGATTCTTATATATATAACGACATAAGAATAAATCATATATATTGAAACTGTAAGAATAAATAATAGGGAGGAATAAAATAGTAATTTTAATGTTTCGAGTGTAAACTTATTTTAATTGTGAAATAAATCATAAAAATAAATATTTTTAAATCAAAATAACATTAAAATAAATCCGAAACGTCGAAAAACCTTAGGGTAGTCATATGGATCAAATTTGAGATCTTAGTGGTAAAATCGTAATTTTAGAGAAACTCAAAACAGGCAGTGAACAGTAAAAATCAGGGTTGGCTGTGTTTAAAACACTGATTTCAGAACCCTAGGAGAAGGTAAAGGAAAGGAAGGAGAGGAGAAAAAAGGTCTATAGGGCTTGGGCTTTCACTTGAAATTCTTGATTCTAGGTAGAAATTTCTTCTCATTCTCCTACATTAAGGCTAGGGTTTATATATATGTATATGTTACTTCTAAATCTTAGATATATGTTATGAATTCATTATTTGTTGATACCCTTGCAAATATTATCATGTTTGGAATGAAGTTATGGTTTGTTAGCCATGAAATCCTTGAAATCTCAAAACTCTTGTTTCTTTTAATAAATAGAGATTTTTCTTCTTGATATTTCTTAATTATTGATTTCAAAACCCTAGTGCTTTTTTTTGAACAATAAAAATATATGTTTAATGATCTCTTGCATATTTTTCTTAAATTGTTCTATTGGAATCATATGGGAGAAAATTGAGAATTTTTGAGATTTAATGTGATTTGAAAAATACCTATGGAATTTGGGGGTTTTGAAAATTATGAACTTTTGTTGAGAAATTGTTGGTGATTATATCTCATAGAGGTATTTGAATGACCATGGGTAGCCGTTGACCGGGTATCGTAGAGTGGTTAGATGTGTATGGTTCTTACTCCGTGCGGGTTTTAACTTTTCCTACCACTCGTAGTGGGGTTGGTGCCTTGCGAGGACCAAACCACTATTAGCTCATGGGTGCCGTGTCAGATGATTAGTATACTATGTCTGGGTCGGATTCGTTATTGCTGGTGTATTGGTATGGGACAATGCATAGGTAGGCGCCCTTTCTAAATTTTGATATCCTTGCGAGAATTTGTGTGTGTATGAGCCAGAATATTCTCGATGTGTTTATTCATGCGATTATCTTACATTAGACTTGAGATACATTGTGGTTATTGTTTATTACGTTATCTTTTGAATATGATTATCTTGAAAATTATTGTGGGAATAATTACTCTTTGGAATGGTTATTTATAGTGGAATTGACTTACTCTTCCACTTAATTATTGCTAATGTATAAACTTGGGATCTTTGAAAATGTCATGTTCTCTTTCAAAATTTATGTATGCTATTTGTGAAATGAGACCGACCATTTTCTACGTTTTCCAAACCTTGTTAGAGTTTGGGAGGATTTTCGTACAGAGCTTAGTGCTCACCCCTTACCAATAATGTTTTCTTTTCAGATTTTGTGCTAGAGGAAGATCNCGCTGCTTCATGAGTTCTTCATTTTGCTTTAATAGGCGTTGATTGACCAAACAGATGGCCTCCAACTCGTTGTTTGTGGGAGGATCCACCATAAGAGGATTGACATCGGCGATTGGGAAGAAATCTTGTGGATCTTCGTGATGTCTACTTGTGTTCTCCTACTGGTTCTGCATTTGTGGGGGATTCATTTGACTTCTGCTCATGTTGCGGGTTGAGACCATCAGTTACTGAAGGATCAATGTACTTGTAATGAGAACTGTTGTTCCCATAAAAGGTGTCAAACTAATGGTGTAAGTTAACGTGGACGAACAAAAGGTTGGAATTATGCTTTTCAATTTGGGTCTGAGCTACTAGGCTCGTGAGGACCGAGATCAATGATTTTCAGGGATTGAGGTGATTTATATAGTAAAAATATAGTGATTCACCAGCTCGGGAGTTCAGTTAATCCACTCTTTAATGGAGATTTTTACTCATTTTGTTTTAATAATAATGAGGAATAAAATTTACAAATTGCCTTTTATGCAGCTAAGGGTTTTTTTTTGTATTGGAGGTATTATACAATATTTATAGAGCTATTCCTTGATCTGTGGGATCTCTGCCGAGATCCTAGCCTTTCATCCGTGGATTCCTCCTTGATTTTTGAAAAGTAACTTGGTTGGTTGAAGGTTTTGCACCTTGAATATGACTCTTTGCCACTTGTAGGGTTCATGTTAACATCCAGTTGTTCCTTTATCATTTCCGTTATTGTCTCGTTTGGAGGGGAGCTCTGACTCCGGTCCTCTGAGCTCTGCGTGTCTTGTCTGACTTCCTTATCTGACCTTCGCGTCTGACCTCATACTTTAAAAAATTTTCTATGTATCATCAGATTTAATATAATTAAAAATAATTTAGACAATTATAATTTTTTTTGTAACTTTATTTCCTATCAAATAATAGAATGAAATCTTTTGAAACTATTCATAAAGTTTTTGATTCTAATCAAATACAAACATACAAATAAATTTTTTTATCATTTTTTTTATTTTATTTCTCTTTCTATTATTTTCCCTTTCAATCATTTTTTTTCACCCTAGCCGGACCATGCCTTTAGAGTTTCTTTTTTTAAAAAAAAAAATTATTTGGCAGGCCAATAAAACAGCGAACTTAAACCAGTTACACAAATTCACTCAATACTAGGGTTTTGAGACAAATTTCTGCAAATACCTCTTTTCCGAAACCCCTCAAATTCACCATGAAATCACAAACCAAAGAGTCCAAATTAACCCCATCACAATTCTCCTTCACAATCACCAAAATCGCAGTGTCACAAGTCTGCCAATCCGTGGGCTTCAAAGCCACCCAAACCTCAGCCTTGGAAACCTTCACCGACATCGCCGCCAGGTACCTCCGTGCCCTGGCCAACTCCGCCGCCGCCTCCGCCAACTACGCTGGGCGTACTCAGTGGAGCCTCCTCGATATCGTCCATGCCCTCGAAGAGTTAAATTCTGTCCAGGGGTTTCGTGGGGCATCTAATGTAAAGCTTATGCTATACGATTCATCCACTTTGATTGACATAATGAAATTTGTGGAGTACACTGATGAAATCCCATTTGCTAAGCCAATTCCTAGGCATAATTTTTTGTCCAGAAAAATGGGTTCGCCGCCATGTTTAAGCAGCTTGAAGGAGGGTAGTGGTAGTGGTAGTGGTAGTGGTAGTGGTAGTGGTAGTGGTAGGTTGAGTCACATTCCAGAGTGGTTGCCTGCTTTTCCGGTGGGGGTTGGTGGTGAGAGGGGTCAGAAGGAGGATAATGAAGGGGAGAAATGGGGTTTGGTGTCAAGTAGGGGTTGTGAGAGGGTGGTGGAGAAAGAAGGGAAGATGGAGTTGCCGGAGAGGAGAGAGAGGGTGAGGTTTAGGATCGGTGAGGGTGAGGTTTAGGATCGGTAAGGGTGAAAATGGAGCAGGAGATGTGGGTTTTGTTGTGGATTTGAGAAGTCGGGTTTGCAGAGGTGTGAAAGAGAGTTTCATGTCAAAATTGGAGTGGTGATGATGAAGATGGAACTAAAAGTAGGCCTCAAGAGGCCAAGATAATGACTTCGATGATAAAGGCAGGGGTGGGGTTCCAATTTGTGGTGTGCACAAGCACACCACAAATTGAGAGGTATCTTCGCCAATATATCAAAATGAGAGGAAATTTGACGTTTGAAGTAAATTGTAGGTGAATGGGAGGAATTGAACCCACAACATATATATAGCTAAGGAAAAGAAAGCGTATTGAGCGCAGCCATCCAAACCAGGGTGGTATTATTTTGTCTTGGTGTATCTTCGCCAATATATACTATAAATATGTTTACATATGTAGTTTGCTTTGCAGCTTGAATCTCTGGCTTTTTTGATCCAAAATTGCTTCTAGCGTGTTCATTGAGCCATGCCCCAGCGTGGTGTTTCCCCCTTACCTTAATATTTGAGTGCTGTAAAGTTTTTTGTGTAATAAATTTTCTATGTCAAATTTACCAAATGACGCAACATATTCATCATACTTAAATATAAAGCATACTAAATTTTTTGGATGTGGTCAATGTGCAAAAGGGAATTTAGTAAACAAATTTTGTGAGTTGAAAAACGAGAACTTTGTTTGGGAAGTCTGTTAAAAAATGAATTGTTAAACTGTTCTTTTCATCTTGTACCATCTGATTGATAGCAAGTGGAACAATGGTGTGTGCAGTGCCCTTCTTTAAAACGGTAGGTGATCAAATCTTGTTAGACTCGATTGATAAAATGTCCGCCTAATTCTTTCCCTCCCACTGATGATATGGGCTTTGATTTGTTTTTTGTCTCAATGTTGGTCCAAACTCAAACTCAAACTTTAATAAAAAAATGAGTAAAAAGCTTGATTTGGTAAAATACACTCTAATGACAAATTTAAATTTAAATAATAGCAAATTTAAATTAAAGAAGAACAAACTCAAATTTAAGTAAAAGTGAAATATGACAATTAGATCTTTTAAAAAGTGAATTCTAACCATTAAAAATTTG